GTGTGCAAAATTGAAAGAACAAGGGCCTAACGTGTGCAAAATTGAAAGAACAAGGGCCTAGCGTGTGCAAAATTGCAAGAACAAGGGCCTAGCGAGTGCAAAATTGCAAGAACAAGGGCCTAGCGTGTGCAAAATTGCAAGAACAAGGGCCCCCTAGCGAGTGCAAAATTGCAAAACAAGGGCCGGGCGTGTGCAAAATTGCAAGAACAAGGGCCTAGCATGTGCAAAACTGCAAGAACAAGGGCCTTGCAAGTGAAACATTTCAAGAAATAAGGCCTAGCGCGTGCAAAATTGCAAGAACAAGAACATAGCATGTGCAAAACTGCAAGAACAAGGGCCTAGTGTGTGCAAAATTACAAGAACAAGGGCCTAGCATGTGCAAAATAGCAAGAAGAAGGGCCTAGCGTGTGCAAAATTGCAAGAACAAGGGTCTAGCATGTGCAAAATTGAAAGAACAAGGGCCTAATGTGTGCAAAATTGCAAGAACAAGGGCCTAGCGTACGCAAACTTTCAAGAACAAGGGTCTAGCGAGTGCAACATTGCAAGAACCAGGGCCTAGCATGTGCAAAATTGCAAGAACAAGGGCATAGCGTGTGCAAATTTGCAAGAACAAGGGCCTAGCTTGTGCAAAATTGCAAGAACAAGGGCCTAGGGTATGCAAATTTGCAAGAACAAGGGCCTAGCGTGTGCAAAATTGCAAGAACAAGGGCCTAGCGAGTGTAAAATTGCAAGAACAAGGGCCTAGCGTGTGCAAAATCGCAAGAACAAGGGCCTAGCGTGTGCAAAATAGCAAGAACAAGGGCCTAGCGTGTGCAAAATTGCAAAAAGAACGGTCTAGCGTGTGCAAAATTGCAAGAACAAGGGCCTAGCGTGTGCAAAATTGCAAGAACAAGGGCCTAGCGAGTGCAAAATTGCAAGAACAAGGGCCTAGCATGTGCAAAATTGCAAGAACAAGCGCCTAGCGTGTGCAAAATTGCAAGAACAAGGGCCTAGCGAGTGCAAAATTGCAAGAACAAGGGCCTAGCGTGTGCAAAATTGCAAGAACAAGCGCCTAGCGTGTGAAAAATTGCAAGAACAAGGGCCAAGCGTGTGCAAAATTGCAAGAACAAGTGCCTAGCATGTATAAAACTGCAAGAACAAGGGCCTTGCGTGTGCAAAATTGCAAGAACTAAGGCCTAGCGCGTGCAAAATTGCAAGAACAAGGACCTAGCATGTGCAAAATTGCAAGAACAAGGGCCTAGCGTGTGCAAAATTACAAGAACAGGGCCTAGCGTGTGCAAAATTGCAAGAACAAGGGCCTAGCGTGTGCAAAATTGCAAGAACAAGGGCCTAGCAAGTGTAAACTTGCAAGAACAAGGGCCTATCGTGTGCAAAATCGCAAGAACAAGGGCCTAGCATGTGCAAAATTGCAAGAACAAGGGTCTAGCGTGTGCAAAATTGCAAGAACAAGGGCCTAGCGTGTGCAAAATTGCAAGAACAAGGGCCCCCTAGCAAGTGCAAAATTGCAAGAACAAGGGCCTAGCGTGTGCAAAATTGCAAGAACAAGGGCCTAGCATGTGCAAAACTGCAAGAACAAGTGCCTAGCATGTATAAAATTGCAAGAACAAGGGCCTAGCGAGTGCAAAATTGCAAGAACAAGGGCCTAGCGTGTGCAAAATTGCAAGAACAAGCGCCTAGCGTGTGAAAAATTGCAAGAACAAGGGCCAAGCGTGTGCAAAATTGCAAGAACAAGTGCCTAGCATGTATAAAACTGCAAGAACAAGGGCCTTGCGTGTGCAAAATTGCAAGAACTAAGGCCTAGCGCGTGCAAAATTGCAAGAACAAGGACCTAGCATGTGCAAAATTGCAAGAACAAGGGCCTAGCGTGTGCAAAATTACAAGAACAGGGCCTAGCGTGTGCAAAATTGCAAGAACAAGGGCCTAGCGTGTGCAAAATTGCAAGAACAAGGGCCTAGCAAGTGTAAACTTGCAAGAACAAGGGCCTATCGTGTGCAAAATCGCAAGAACAAGGGCCTAGCATGTGCAAAATTGCAAGAACAAGGGTCTAGCGTGTGCAAAATTGCAAGAACAAGGGCCTAGCGTGTGCAAAATTGCAAGAACAAGGGCCCCCTAGCAAGTGCAAAATTGCAAGAACAAGGGCCTAGCGTGTGCAAAATTGCAAGAACAAGGGCCTAGCATGTGCAAAACTGCAAGAACAAGGGCCTAGCGTGTGCAAAATTGCAAGAACAAGGGTCTAGCGTGTGCAAAATTGCAAGAACAAGGGCCTAGCGTGTGCAAAATTGCAAGAACAAGGGCCCCCTAGCGAGTGCAAAATTGCAAGAACAAGGGCCTAGCGTGTGCAAAATTGCAAGAACAAGGGCCTAGCATGTGCAAAACTGCAAGAACAAGGGCCTAGGGTGTGCAAAATTGCAAGAACAAGGGTCTAGCGTGTGCAAAATTGAAAGAACAAGGGTCTAGCGAGTGCAAAATTGCAAGAACAAGGGCCTAGCATGTGCAAAATTGCAAGAACAAGGGCATAGCGTGTGCACAATTGCAAGAACAAGGGCGTAGCCTGTGCAAAATTGCAAGAACAAGGGCCTAGCGTATGCAAAATTGCAAGAACAAGGGCCTAGCGTGTGCAAAATTGCAAGAACAAGGGCCTAGCGAGTGTAAAATTGCAAGAACAAGGGCCTAGCGTGTGCAAAATCGCAAGAACAAGGGCCTAGCGTGTGCAAAATAGCAAGAACAAGGGCCTAGCGTGTGCAAAATTGCAAAAAGAAGGGTCTAGCGTGTGCAAAATTGCAAGAACAAGGGCCTAGCGTGTGCAAAATTGCAAGAACAAGAACCTAGCGAGTGCAAAATTGCAAGAACAAGGGCCTAGCATGTGCAAAATTGCAAGAACAAGCGCCTAGCGTGTGCAAAATTGCAAGAACAAGGGCCTAGCAAGTGCAAAATTGCAAGAACAAGGGCCTAGCGTGTGCAAAAGTGCAAGAACAAGCGCCTAGCGTGTGCAAAATTGCTAGAACAAGGGCCAAGCGTGTGCAAAATTGCAAGAACAAGGGCCTAGCATGTGCAAAACTGCAAGAACAAGGGCCTAGCGTGTGCAAAATTGCAAGAACAAGGGTCTAGCGTGTGCAAAATTGCAAGAACAAGGGCCTAGCGTGTGCAAAATTGCAAGAACAAGGGCCCCCTAGCGAGTGCAAAATTGCAAGAACAAGGGCCTAGCGTGTGCAAAATTGCAAAACAAGGGCCTAGCATGTGCAAAACTGCAAGAACAAGGGCCTAGCGTGTGCAAAATTGCAAGAACAAGGGTCTAGCGTGTGCAAAATTGAAAGAACAAGGGTCTAGCGAGTGCAAAATTGCAAGAACAAGGGCCTAGCATGTGCAAAATTGCAAGAACAAAGGCATAGCGTGTGCACAATTGCAAGAACAAGGGCGTAGCCTGTGCAAAATTGCAAGAACAAGGGCCTAGCGTATGCAAAATTGCAAGAACAAGGGCCTAGCGTGTGCAAAATTGCAAGAACAAGGGCCTAGCGAGTGTAAAATTGCAAGAACAAGGGCCTAGTGTGTGCAAAATCGCAAGAACAAGGGCCTAGCGTGTGCAAAATAGCAAGAACAAGGGCCTAGCGTGTGCAAAATTGCAAAAAGAAGGGTCTAGCGTGTGCAAAATTGCAAGAACAAGGGCCTAGCGTGTGCAAAATTGCAAGAACAAGAACCTAGCGAGTGCAAAATTGCAAGAACAAGGGCCTACCATGTGCAAAATTGCAAGAACAAGCGCCTAGCGTGTGCAAAATTGCAAGAACAAGGGCCTAGCAAGTGCAAAATTGCAAGAACAAGGGCCTAGCGTGTGCAAAAGTGCAAGAACAAGCGCCTAGCGTGTGCAAAATTGCTAGAACAAGGGCCAAGCGTGTGCAAAATTGCAAGAACAAGGGCCTAGCATGTACAAAACTACAAAAACAAGGGCCTTGCGTGTGCAAAATTGCAAGAACAAGGGCCTAGCGTGTGCAAAATTGCAAGAACAAGGGCCTAGCGAGTGTAAACTTGCAAGAACAAGGGCCTAGCGTGTGCAAAATTGCAAGAACAAGGGCCTAGCGTGTGCAAATTAGCAAGAACAAGGGCCAAGCGTGTGCAAAATTGCAAGAACAAGGGTCTAGCGTGTGCAAAATTGCAAGAACAGGCGCCTAGCGTGTGCAAAATTGCAAGAACAAGGGCCTAGCGTGTGCAAAATTGCAAGAACAAGGGCCACCTAGCGAGTGCAAAATTGCAAGAACAAGGGCCTAGCGTGTGCAAAATTGCAAGAACAAGGGCCTAGCATGTGCAAAACTGCAAAAACAAGGGCCTAGCGTGTGCAAAATTGCAAGAATAAAGGCCTAGCGCGTGCAAAATTGCAAGAACAAGGGCCTAGCGTGTGCAAAATCGCAAGAACAAGGGCCTAGCGTGTGCAAAATTGCAAGAACAAGGGCCGAGCATGTGCAAAACTGCAAGAACAAGGGCCTAGCGTGTGCAAAATTGCAAGAACAAAGGCCTAGCGCGTGCAAAATTGCAAGAACAAGGGCCTAGCGTGTGCCAAACCGCAAGAACAAGGGCCTAGCGTGTGCAAAATTGCAAGAACAAGGGCCTAGCGTGTGCAAAATTGCAAAAACAAGCGCCTACCATGTGCAAAATTGCAAGAACAAGGGCCAGGCGTGTGCAAAATTGCAAGAACAAGGGCCTAGCATGTGCAAAACTGCAAGAACAAGGGCCTAGCGTGTGCAAAATTGCAAGAACAAAGGCCTAGCACGTGCAAAATTGCAAGAACAAGGGCCTAAGGTGTGCAAAATTGCAAGAACAAGGGCCTAGCGAAGGCAAAATTGCAAGAACAAGGGCCTAGCGTGTGCAAAATTGCAAAAACAAGTGCCTAGCATGTGCAAAATTGCAAGAACAAGGGCCAGGCGTGTGCAAAATTGCAAGAACAAGGGCCTAGCATGTGCAAAACTGCAAGAACAAGGGCCTTGCGTGTGCAAAATTGCAAGAACAAAGGCCTAGCGCGTGCAAAATTGCAAGAACAAGGGCCTAGCGTGTGCAAAATCGCAAGAACAAGGGTGATGGAAAGCGGGAGAATGTGGCGGGGTGATGGAAGGCGGGAGAATGGGGCGGGGTGATGGAAAGCGGGAGAATGGGGCGGGGTGATGGAAAGCGGGAGAATGGGGCGGGGTGATGGAAAATTGGAGAATGGGGCGGGGTGATGGAAAGCGGGAGAATGGGGCAGGATGATGGAAGGTGGGAGAATGCGGCAGGGTGATGAAAAGCAGGAGAATGGGGCGGGGTGATGGAAAGCGGGAGAATGGGGTGGGGTGATGGGAAGAGGGAGAATGTGGCGGGGTGGTGGAAAGCGGGAGAAGGGGGCGGGGTGATGGAAAGAGGGAGAATGGGGAGGGGTGTTGGAAAGCGGGAGAATGGGGCGGGGTGATGAAAAGCAGGAGAATGGGGCGGGGTGATGGAAGGAGGGAAAATGGGGCGGGGTGATAGAAGGTGGGAGGATGGGGTGGGGTGAAGGAAGGAGGGAGAATGGGGCGGGGTGATGGAAGGAGGAAGAAGGGGGCGGGGTGATGGAAAGCGGGAGAATGGGGCGGGGTGATGGAAGGAGGGAGAATGGGGCGGGGTGATAGAAAGCGGGAGAATGGGGCGGGGTGATGGAAGGAGGGAGAATGGGGCGGGGTGATGGAAAGTGGGAGAATGTGGCGGGGTGATGGAAAGCGGGAGATGGGGCTGGGGTTATGGGAAGCGGAGAATGGGGCGGGGTGATGGAAGGAGGGAGAATGGGGAGGGGTGTTGGAAAGCGGGAGAATGGGGCGGGGTGATGGAAAGCGGGAGAATGGGGCGGGGTGATGGAAGGAGGGAAAATGGGGCGGGGTGATAGAAGGTGGGAGGATGGGGTGGGGTGAAGGAAGGAGGGAGAATGGGGCGGGGTGATGGAAGGAGGAAGAAGGGGGCGGGGTGATGGAAAGCGGGAGAATGGGGCGGGGTGATGGAAGGAGGGAGAATGGGGCGGGGTGATAGAAAGCGGGAGAATGGGGCGGGGTGATGGAAGGAGGGAGAATGGGGCGGGGTGATGGAAAGTGGGAGAATGTGGCGGGGTGATGGAAAGCGGGAGATGGGGCTGGGGTTATGGGAAGCGGAGAATGGGGCGGGATGATGGAAGGAGGGAGAATGGGGCGGAGTGATGGAAAGAGGGAGAATGGGGCGGGGTGATGGAAAGCGGGAGAATGGGGCGGGGTGATGAAAAGCGGGAGAATTGGGCGGGGTGATGGAAAGCGGGAGAACGGGGCGGGGTGATGGAAAGCGGGAGAATGGGGCGGGGTGATGGGAAGCAGGGGAATGGGGCGGGGTGATGGAAAGCGGGAGAATGGGGCGGGGTGATGGAAAGCGGGAGAATGGGGCGGGGTGATGGAAGGAGGGAAAATGGGGCGGGGTGATAGAAGGTGGGAGGATGGGGTGGGGTGATGGAAAGCGGGAGAATGGGGCGGGGTGATGGAAAGCGGGAGAATGGGACGGGGTGGTGGAAAGCCGGAGAATGGGGCGGGGTGATGGAAAGCAGGAGAATGGGGCGGGGTGATGGAAAACGGGAACATGGGGCGGGGTGATGGAAAGCGGGAGAATGGGGCAGGGTGATGGAAAGCGAGAGAATGGGGCGGGGTGATGGAAAGCGGGAGAATGGGGCGGGGTGATGGAAAGCGGGAGAATGGGGAGGGGTGATGGAAGGAGGGAAAATGGGGCGGGGTGATAGAAGGTGGGAGGATGGGGTGGGGTAATGGAAAGCGGGAGAATGGGGCGGGGTGATGGAAAGCGGGAGAATAAGGCGGGGTGGTGGAAAGCCGGAGAACGGGGCGGGGTGATGGAAAGCAGGAGAATGGGGCGGGGTGATGGAAAACGGGAACATGGGGCGGGGTGATGGAAAGCGGGAGAATGGGGCAGGGTGATGGAAAGCGGGAGAATGGGGCGGGGTGATGGAAAGCGGGAGAATGGGGCGGGGTGATGGAAAGAGGGAGAATGGGGCGGGATGATGGAAAGCGGGAGAATGGGGCGGGGTGATGGAAAGCGGGAGAATGGAAAGGGGTGATGGAAAGCGGGAAAATGGGGCGGGGTGATGGAAGGAGGGAAAATGGGGCGGGGTGATAGAAGGTGGGAGGATGGGGTGGGGTAATGGAAAGCGGGAGAATGGGGCGGGGTGATGGAAAGCGGGAGAATGGGGCGGGGTGGTGGAAAGCCGGAGAATAAGGCGGGGTGATGGAAAGCAGGAGAATGGGGCGGGGTGATGGAAAACGGGAACATGGGGCGGGGTGATGGAAAGCGGGAGAATGGGGCAGGGTGATGGAAAGCGGGAGAATGGGGCGGGGTGATGGAAAGCGGGAGAATGGGGCGGGGTGATGGAAAGAGGGAGAATGGGGCGGGATGATGGAAAGCGGGAGAATGGGGCGGGGTGATGGAAAGCAGGAGAATGGAAAGGGGTGATGGAAAGCGGGAAAATGGGGCGGGGTGATAGAAAGCGGGAGAATGGGGCGGGGTGATGGAAAGAGGGAGAATGGGGCGGGGTGATGGAATGCGGGAGAATGGGCCGGGGTGATGGAAACCGGGAGAATGGGGCGGGGTGATGGAAAGCGGGAGAATGGGGCGGGGTGATGGAAAGCGGGAGAATGGGGCGGGGTGATGGAAAGTGGGAGAATGGGGCGGGGTGATGGAAAGCGGGAGAATGGGGCGGGGTGATGGAAAGAGGGAGAATGGGGCGGGGTGATGGAAAGAGGGAGAATGAGGCGGGGTGATGGAAAGAGGGAGAATGGGGCAAGGTGATGGAAAGAGGTAGAATGGGGCAGAGTGATGGAAAGCGAGAGAATGGGGCGGGGTGATGGAAAGAGAGAGAATGGGGCGGGGTGATGGAAAGCGGGAGAATGGGATGGGGTGATGGAAAGCGGGAGAATGGGGCCGGGTGATGGAAAGCGGGAGAATGGAAAGGGGTTATGGGAAGCGGAAGAATGGGGCGGGGTGATGGAAGGCGGGAGAATGGGGCGGGGTGATGGAAAGAGGGAGAATGGGGCGGGATGATGGAAAGCGGGAGAATGGGGCGGGGTGATGGAAAGCGGGAGAATGGAAAGGGGTGATGGAAAGCGGGAAAATGGGGCGGGGTGATAGAAAGCGGGAGAATGGGGCCGGGTGATGGAAAGAGGGAGAATGGGGCGGGGTGATGGAATGCGGGAGAATGGGGCGGGGTGATGGAAACCGGGAGAACGGGGCGGGGTGATGGACAGCGGGAGAATGGGGCGGGGTGATGGAAAGTGGGAGAATGGGGCGGGGTGATGGAAAGCGGGAGAATGGGGCGGGGTGATGGAAAGCGGGAGAATGGGGCGGGGTGATGGAAAGAGGGAGAATGGGGCGGGGTGATGGAAAGAGGGAGAATGAGGCGGGGTGATGGAAAGAGGGAGAATGGGGCAAGGTGATGGAAAGAGGTAGAATGGGGCAGAGTGATGGAAAGCGAGAGAATGGGGCGGGGTGATGGAAAGCGAGAGAATGGGGCGGGGTGATGGAAAGCGGGAGAATGGGATGGGGTGATGGAAAGCGGGAGAATGGGGCCGGGTGATGGAAAGCAGGAGAATAGGGCGGGGTGATGGAAAGCGGGAGAATGGGGCGGGGTGATGGAAAACGGGGGAATGGGGCGGTGTGATGGAAAGCGGGAGAGATTCTGCTCAACTGCATCGACTGTGGGATGGGATGATGAGACTGGTGGTTGAGACCTGGTGATTGGTAATTCACGTGTTATTTCCAGACTCAAAGTAACTCTTTCATCACGTGGCTGGTGAGATGAAAGTAACTCTTTCATCAGATGGTGAGATGAAAGTTATTATTCGTCAGATGGTGAGATGAAAGTAACTCTTTGAACAGGTGGTGAGATGAAAGTAACTCTTCCATCAGATGGTGAGATGAAAGTAACTCTTTCGTGAGATAGTGAGATGAAAGTTATTATTCATCAGATGGTGAGATGAAAGTAACTCTTTCATCAGATGGTGAGATGAAAGTTATGATTCATCAGATGGTGAGATGAAAGTAACTCTTTCATCTGATGGTGAGATGAAAGTAACTTTTTCATCAGATGGTGAGATGAAAGTAACTCTTTCATCAGATGGTGAGATGAAAGTACCTCTTTCATCAGATGCTGAGATGAAAGTACCTCTTTCATGAGATGCTGAGATGAAAGTAACTCTTTCATCAAATGGTGAGATGAAAGTACCTCTTTCATCAGATGGTGAGATGAAAGTAACTCTTTCATAAGATGGTGAGATGAAAATACCTCTTTCATCAGATGGTGAGATGAAAGCAACTCTTTCATCAGATGGTGAGATGAAAGTAACTCTTACATCAGATGGTGAGATGAAAGCAACTCTTTCATCAGATGGTGAGATGAAAGCAACTCTTTCATCAGATGGTGAGATGAAAGTACCTGTTTCATCAGATGGTGAGATCAAGGTAACTCTTTCATCAGATGGTGAGATGAAAGCAACTCTTTCAACAGATGGTGAGATGAAAGTACCTCTTTCATTAGATGGTGAGATGAAAGTAATTCTTTCATCAGATGGTGAGATGAAAGTACCTCTTTCATCAGATGGTGAGATGAAAGCAACTCTTTCATCAGATGGTGAGATGAAAGCAACTCTTTCTTCAGAGGGTGAGATGAAAGTAACTCTTTCATCAGATGGTGAGATGAAAGCAACTCTTTCTTCAGATGGTGAGATGAAAGTAACTCTTTCATCAGATGGTGAGATGAAAGTACCTCTTTCATCAGATGGTGAGATGAAAGTACCTCTTTCATCAGATGGTGAGATGAAAGTAACTCTTTCATCAGATGGTGAGATGAAAGTACCTCTTTCATCAGATGGTGAGATGAAAGTAATTCTTTCATCAGATAGTGAGATGAAAGTACCTCTTTCATCAGATGGTGAGATGAAAGTAACTCTTTTATCAGATGGTGAGATGAAAGTAACTCTTTCATCAAATGGTGAGATGAAAGTAACTCTTTCATCAGATGGTGAGATGAAAGTTATTATTCATCAGATGGTGAGATGAAATACCTCTTTCATCAGATGGTGAGATGAAAGTAACTCTTTCATCAGATGGTGAGATGAAAGTACCTCTTTCATCAGATGGTGAGATGAAAGTACCTCTGTCATCAGATGGTGAGATGAAAGTACCTCCATCATCACGTGCCTGGTGTCCTCCGATCCGCAGTGAGTTTCCCTGTCATCGCCAGTGTGGGGCACGGGCTCATTTTCCTCATGTACTTGCCCCCCTTCCCCCTCCTCCCTCTGCTGGTCAGGGAAAAGGCTTTCGACCTTGACCTGGTGGGCCTGGTGTCGTCAAGCCCTCAAGCCTTCAAGAACTTTAGCCTTCAAGCCCTCAAGCCCTCAAGCCCTCTAGCCCTCAAGCCCTCACGCCCTCAAGCCCTGAAGCCCTCACGCCCTGAAGCCCTCAAGCCTTCAAGCCCTCAAGCCTTCAAGCCATCAAGCACTCAAGCCTTCAAGCCCTCAAGCCCTCAAGCCTTCAAGCCTTCAAGCCTTCAAGCCCTCAAGCCCTCAAGCCTTCAAGCCTTCAAGCCTTCAAGCCCTCAAGCCTTCAAGCCTTCAAGCCTTCAAGCTCTCAAGCCTTCAAGCCTTCAAGCCTTCAAGCTGTCAAGCCCTCAAGCCCTCAAGCCTTCAAGCCCTCAAGCCCTCAAGCCCTCAAGCCCTCAAGCCTTCAAGCCTTCAAGCCTTCAAGCCTTCAAGCCTTCACGCCCTCAAGCCCTCAAGCCCTCAAGCCCTCAAGCCCTCAAGCCCTCAAGCCCTCAAGCCCTCAAGCCTTCAAGCCTTCAAGCCTTCAAGCCTTCAAGCCCTCAAGCCCTCAAGCCTTCAAGCCTTCAAGCCTTCAAGCCCTCAAGCCCTCAAGCCCTGAAGCCCTCAAGCATTCAAGCCTTCAAGCCTTAAAGCCTTCAAGCCTTCAAGCCCTCAAGCCTTAAAGCCTTCAAGCCTTCAAGCCCTCAAGCCATCAAGCCTTCAAGCCCTCAAGCCCTCAAGCCCTCAAGCCCTCAAGCCTTCAAGCCTTCAAGCCTTCAAGCCTTCAAGTCCTCAAGCCCTCAAGCCCTCAAGCCTTCAAGCCCTCAAGCCCTCAAGCCTTCAAGCCTTCAAGCCTTCAAGCCTTCAAGCCTTCAAGCCTTCAGGCCCTAAAGCCCTCAAGCCTTCAAGCCCTCAAGCCCTCAAGCCCTCAAGCCTTCAAGCCTTCAAGCCTTCAAGCCTTCAAGCCTTCAAGCCCTCAAGCCATCAAGCCTTCAAGCCCTCAAGCCCTCAAGCCCTCAAGCCCTTAAGCACTCAAGCCCTCAAGCCTTCAAGCCTTCAAGCCCTCAAGCCTTCAAGTCCTCAAGCCCTCAAGCCCTCAAGCCTTCAAGCCTTCAAGTCCTCAAGCCCTCAAGCCCTCAAGCATTCAAGCCCTCAAGCCCTCAAGCCTTCAAGCCTTCAAGCCTTCAAGCCTTCAAGCCTTCAAGCCTTCAGGCCCTCAAGCCCTCAAGCCTTCAAGCCCTCAAGCCCTCAAGCCTTCAAGCCTTCAAGCCTTCAAGCCTTCAAGCCCTCAAGCCATCAAGCCTTCAAGCCCTCAAACCCTCAAGCCCTCAAGCCCTAAAGCACTCAAGCCCTCAAGCCTTCAAGCCTTCAAGCCTTCGAGCCTTCAAGTTCTCAAGCCCTCAAGCCCTCAAGCCTTCGAGCCCTCAAGCCCTCAAGCCTTCAAGCCTTCAAGCCTTCAGGCCCTAAAGCCCTCAAGCCTTCAAGCCCTCAAGCCCTCAAGCCCTCAAGCCTTCAAGCCTTCAAGCCTTCAGTCCTTCAAGCCCTCAAGCCCTCAAGCCCTCAAGCCCTCAAGCCCTCAAGCCCTCAAGCCTTCAAGCCCTCAAGCCTTCAAGCCTTCAAGCCCCCAAGGCCCCATTCTCCCGCTTTCCATCACCCCGCCCCATTCTCCCGCTTTCCATCACCCCGCCCCATTCTCCCGCTTTCTATCACCCCGCTCCGTTCTCCCGCTTTCCATCAACCCGCCCCACTCTCCCGCTTTCTATCAACCCGCCCCGTTCTCCCTCTTTCCTTCACCCCGCCCCATTCTCCCGCTTCCCATCACCCCGCCACATTCTCCCTCTTCCCACCACCCCGCCCCATTCTCCCGCTTTCGATCACCCCACCCCATTCTCCCGCTTTTTATCACCCCGCCCCATTCTCCCGCTTTCCTTCACCCCGCCTCATTCCCCGGCTTCCCATCACCCTGCCCCATTCTCCCTCTTCCCATCATCCCGCCCCATTCTCCCGCTTTCCATCACCCCGCCCCATTCTCCCGCTTTCCATCACCGCGCCCCATTCTCCCCCATCACCCCACTCCATTCTCCTGCTTTCCATCACCCCGCCCCATTCTACCTCTTTCCATCACCCTGCCCCATTCTCCCGCTTTCCATCACCCCGCCCCATTCTCCCGCTTTCCATCACCCCGCCCCATTCTCCCTCTTTCCATCATCCCAGCCCATTCTCTCGCTTTCCATCACCCCGCCCCATTCTCCCTCTTTCCATCACCCCGCCTTATTCTCCCTTTTTCCATCACCCCGCCCCATTCTCCCGCTTTCCATCACCCCGCCCCATTCTCCCGCTTTCCATCACCCCGCTCCATTCTCCCGCTTTCTATCACCCGGCTTCATTCTTCCGCTTTCCATCACCTCGCCCCATTCTCCCGCTTTCTATCACCCTGCCCCATTCTCCCTCTTTCCTTCACCCCGCCCCATTCAACCGCTTTCCATCACCCCGCCCCATTCTCCCTCTTCCCATCACCCCGCCCCATTCTCCCGCTTTCGATCACCCCGCCCAATTCTCCCGCTTTCCATCACCCCGCCCTATTCTCCCACTTTCCTTCACCCCGGCCCATTCCCCCGCTTCCCATCACCCCGGCCCATTCGCCCTCTTCCCATCACCCCGCCTCATTCTCCCGCTTTCCATCACCCCGCCCCATTCTCCCGCTTTCCATCACCCCGCCCCATTCTCCCTCTTTCCATCACCCCACCCCATTCTCCTGCATTCCATCACCCCGCCCCATTCTCCCTCTTTCCATCACCCCGCCCCATTCTCCCGCTTTCCATCACCCCGCCCCATTCTCCCGCTTTTCATCACCCCGCCCCATTCTCCCGCTTTCCATCACTCCGCCCCATTCTCCCGCTTTCCATCACCCCGTCCCATTCTCCCGCTTTCCATCACCCCGTCCCATTCTCCCGCTTTCCTTCAAGCCCTCAAGCCCTCAAGCCTTCAAGCCTTCAAGCCCTCAAGCCTTCAAGCCTTCAAGCCTTCAAGCCCTCAAGCCCTCAAGCCCTCAAGCCTTCAAGCCCTCAAGCCCTCAAGCCCTCAAGCCCTCAAGCCTTCAAGCCTTCAAGCCTTCAAGCCTTCAAGCCTTCACGCCCTCAAGCCCTCAAGTCCTCAAGCCCTCAAGCCCTCAAGCCCTCAAGCCCTCAAGCCCTCAAGCCTTCAAGCCTTCAAGCCTTCAAGCCTTCAAGCCCTCAAGCCCTCAAGCCTTCAAGCCTTCAAGCCTTCAAGCCCTCAAGCCCTCAAGCCCTCAAGCCCTCAAGCCCTCAAGCCCTCAAGCCTTCAAGCCCTCAAGCCTTCAAGCCTTCAAGCCCCCAAGGCCCCATTCTCCCGCTTTCCATCACCCCGCCCCATTCTCCTGCTTTCCATCACCGCGCCCCATTCTCCCCCATCACCCCACTCCATTCTCCTGCTTTCCATCACCCCGCCCCATTCTACCTCTTTCCATCACCCTGCCCCATTCTCCCGCTTTCCATCACCCCGCCCCATTCTCCCGCTTTCCATCACCCCGCCCCATTCTCCCTCTTTCCATCATCCCGGCCCATTCTCTCGCTTTCCATCACCCCGCCCCATTCTCCCTCTTTCCATCACCCCGCCTTATTCTCCCTCTTTCCATCACCCCGCCCTATTCTCCCGCTTTCCATCACCCCGCCCCATTCTCCCGCTTTCCATCAACCCGCTCCATTCTCCCGCTTTCTTTCACCCGGCTTCATTCTTCCGCTTTCCATCACCTCGCCCCATTCTCCCGCTTTCTATCACCCCGCCCCATTCTCCCTCTTTCCTTCACCCCGCCCCATTCAACCGCTTCCCATCACCCCGCCCCATTCTCCCTCTTCCCATCACCCCGCCCCATTCTCCCGCTTTCGATCACCCCGCCCAATTCTCCCGCTTTCCATCACCCCGCCCTATTCTCCCGCTTTCCTTCACCCCGCCCCATTCCCCCGCTTCCCATCACCCCGGCCCATTCGCCCTCTTCCCATCACCCCGCCTCATTCTCCCGCTTTCCATCACCCCGCCCCATTCTCCCGCTTTCCATCACCCCGCCCCATTCTCCCTCTTTCCATCACCCCACCCCATTCTCCTGCATTCCATCACCCCGCCCCATTCTCCCTCTTTCCATCACCCCGCCCCATTCTCCCGCTTTCCATCACCCCGCCCCATTCTCCCGCTTTTCATCACCCCGCCCCATTCTCCCGCTTTCCATCACTCCGCCCCATTCTCCCGCTTTCCATCACCCCGTCCCATTCTCCCGCTTTCCATCACCCCGCCCCATTCTCCCGCTTTCCATCACCCCACCCCATTCTCCCACTTTCCATCACCCCGCTCCATTCTCCCGCTTTCCATCACCCCGCCCCATTCTCCCGCTTTCTATCACCCCGCCCCATTCTCCCTCTTTCCTTCACCCTGCCCCATTCTCCCGCTTCCCATCACCCCGCCCCATTCTCCCTCTTCCCATCACCCCGCCCCATTCTCCCGCTTTCGATCACCTCGCCCCATTCTCCCACTTTCCATAACCCCTCCACATTCTCCCGCTTTCCATCACCCCGCCCCATTCTCCCGCTTTCCACCACCCCGCCCCATTCTCCCTCTTTCCATCACCCCGCCCCATTCTCCCGCTTTCCATCACCCCGCCCCATTCGCCTCCTTTCCATCACCCCGCCCCATTCTCCCACTTTCCATCATCCTGCCCCATTCTCCCGCTTTCCATCACTCCGCCCCATTCTCCAACTTTCCATCACCCCGCCCACCTATCTCTAGGGGCGCCTATCTCTATGGGCGCCTATCTCTAGGGGCGCCTATCTCTAGGGGCGCCTATCTCTAGGGGCGCATATCTCTATGGGCGCCTATCTCTAGGGGCGCCTATCTCTATGGGCGCCTATCTCTATGGGAGCCTATCTATATGGGCGCCTATCTCTATGGGCGCCTATCTCTATGGGCGCCTATCCCTATGGGCGCCTATCTCTATGGGCGCCTATCTCTAGGGGTTCCTATCTCTATGGACGCCTATCTCTAGGGGCGCCTATCTCTAGTGGCGCCTATCTCTAGGGGCGCCTATCTCTATGGGCGCCTATCTCTAGGGGCACCTATCTCTAGGGGCGCCTATCTCTAGGAGCGCCTATCTCTAGAGGCGCATATCTCTATGGGCGCCAATCTGTAGGGGCACCTATCTCTATAGGCGCCTATCTCTATGGGCGCCTATCTCTATGGGCGCCTATCTCTATGGGCGCCTATCTCTATGGGCGCCTATCTTTAGGGGCGCCTATCTCTATGGGCGCTTATCTCTATGGGCGCCTATCTCTAGGGGCGCCTATCTCTAGTGGCGCCTATCTCTATGGGCGCCTATCTCTATGGGCGCCTATCTCTATGGGCGCCTATCTCTATGGGCGCCTATCTCTATGGGCGCCTATCTCTATGGGCGCCTATCTCTATGGGCGCCTATCTCTATGGGCGCCTATCTCTATGGGCGCCTATCTCTATGGGCGCCTATCTCTAGGGGCGCCTATCTCCAGTGGCGCCTATCTCTAGGGTTGCCTATCTCTAGGAGCGCCTATCTCTAGGGGCGCATATCTCTATGGGCGCCAATCTCTAGGGGCACCTATCTCTATGGGCGCCTATCTCTATGGGCGCCTATCTCTATGGGCGCCTATCTCTAGGGGCGCCAATCTCTAGGGGCGCCTATCTCTATGGGCGCCTATCTCTATGAGCGCCTATCTCTATGGGCGCCTATCTCTATGGGCGCCTATCTCTATGGGCACCTATCTCTATGGGCGCCTATCTCTAGGGGCGCCTATCTCTATGGGCGCCAATCTCTAGGGGCACCTATCTCTATGGGCGCCTATCTCTATGGGCGCCTATCTCTATGGGCGCCTATCTCTAGGGGCGCCTATCTCTAGGGGCGCCTATCTCTATGGGCGCCTATCTCTATGGGCGCCTATCTCTATGGGCGCCTATCTCTATGGGCGCCTAACTCTATGGGCGCCTATCTCTATGGGCGCCTATCTCTATGGGCGCCTATCTCTATGGGCGCCTATTTCTATGGGCGCCTATCTCTAGGGGCGCCTATCTCTAGTGGCACCTATCTCTAGGGGCGCCTATCTCTATGGGCGCCTATCTCTAGGGGCGTCTATCTCTATGGGCGCCTATCTCTAGAGGCGCCTATCTATAGGGGCGCCTATCTCTAGGAGCGCCTATCTTTAAGGGCGCATATCTCTATGGGCGCCTATCTCTATGGGCGCCTTTCTCTATGGGCCCCTATCTCTATGGGCGCCTACCTCTATGGGCGCCTATCTCTATGGGCGCCTATCTCTATGGGCGCCTATCTCTATAGGCGCCTATCTCTATGGGCGCCTATCTCTATGGGCGCCTATCTCTATGGGCGCCTATCTCTATGGGCGCCTATCTCTATGGGCGCCTATCTCTATGGGCGCCTATCTCTATGTGCGCCTATCTCTATGGGCGCCTATCTCTATGGGCGCCTATCTCTATGGGCGCCTATCTCTATGGGCGCCTATCTCTATGGGCGCCTATCTCTAGGGGCGCCTATCTCCAGTGGCGCCTATCTCTAGGGTTGCCTATCTCTAGGAGCGCCTATCTCTAGGGGCGCATATCTCTATGGGCGCCAATCTCTAGGGGCACCTATCTCTATGGGCGCCTATCTCTATGGGCGCCTATCTCTATGGGCGCCTATCTCTAGGGGCGCCAATCTCTAGGGGCGCCTATCTCTATGGGCGCCTATCTCTATGGGCGCCTATCTCTATGGGCGCCTATCTCTATGGGCGCCTATCTCTATGGGCACCTATCCCTATGGGCGCCTATCTCTAGGGGCGCCTATCTCTATGGGCGCCAATCTCTAGGGGCACCTATCTCTATGGGCGCCTATCTCTATGGGCGCCTATCTCTATGGGCGCCTATCTCTAGGGGCGCCTATCTCTAGGGGCGCCTATCTCTATGGGCGCCTATCTCTATGGGCGCCTATCTCTATGGGCGCCTATCTCTATGGGCGCCTAACTCTATGGGCGCCTATCTCTATGGGCGCCTATCTCTATGGGCGCCTATCTCTATGGGCGCCTATTTCTATGGGCGCCTATCTCTAGGGGCGCCTATCTCTAGTGGCACCTATCTCTAGGGGCGCCTATCTCTATGGGCGCCTATCTCTAGGGGCGTCTATCTCTATGGGCGCCTATCTCTAGAGGCGCCTATCTATAGGGGCGCCTATCTCTAGGAGCGCCTATCTTTAAGGGCGCATATCTCTATGGGCGCCTATCTCTATGGGCGCCTTTCTCTATGGGCCCCTATCTCTATGGGCGCCTACCTCTATGGGCGCCTATCTCTTTGGGCGCCTATCTCTATGGGCGCCTATCTCTATAGGCGCCTATCTCTATGGGCGCCTATCTCTATGGGCGCCTATCTCTATGGGCGCCTATCTCTATGGGCGCCTATCTCTATGGGCGCCTATCTCTATGGGCGCCTATCTCTATGTGCGCCTATCTCTATGGGCGCCTATCTCTATGGGCACCTATCTCTATGGGCGCCTATCTCTATGGGCGCCTATCTCTATGGGCGCCTATCTCTATGAGGGCCTATCTCTAGGGGTGCCTATCTCTATGGGCTCCTATCTCTAGGGGCGCCTATCTCTAGTGGCGCCTATCTCTAGGGGCGCCTATCTCTATGGGCACCTATCTCTAGGGGCGCCTATCTCTAGGGGCGCCTATCTCTAGGAGCGCCTATCTCTAGGGGCGCATATCTCTATGGGCGCCAATCTCTATGGGCACCTATCTCTATGGGCGCCTATCTCTATGGGCGCCTATCTCTAGGGGCGGCTATCTCTATGGGCGTCTATCTCAAGGGGCGCCTATCTCTAGGGGTGCCTATCTCTATGGGCCCCTATCTCTATGGGCGCCTATCTCTATGGGCGCCTATCTCTAGGGGTGCCTATCTCTATGGGCGCCTATCCCTAGGGGCGCCTATCTGTAGTGGCGCCTATCTCTAGGGGCGCCTATCTCTATGGGCGCCTATCTCTAGGGGCGCCTATCTCTAGGGGCGCCTATCTCTAGGAGCGCCTATCTCTAGGGGCGCATATCTCTATGGGCGCCAATCTCTAGGGGCACCTATCTCTATGGGTGCCTATCTCTATGGGCGCCTATCTCTATGGTCGCCTATCTCTAGGGGCGCCTATCTCTATGGACGCCTATCTCTATGGGCGCCTATCTCTAGGGGCGCCTATCTCTAGGGGCGCCTATCTCTATGGGCGCCTATCTCTATGGGCGCCTATCTCTATGGGCGCCTATCTCTATGGGCGCCTATCTCTATGGGCGCCTATCTCTATGAGCGCCTATCTCTATGGGCGCCTATCTCTATGGGCGCCTATCTCTATGGGCGCCTATCTCTATGGGCGCTATCTCTAGGGGTGCCTATCTCTGTGGGCGCCTATCTCTAGGGGCGCCTATCTCTAGTGGCGCCTATCTCTAGGGGCGCCTATCTCTAGGAGCGCCTATCTCTAGGGGCGCATATCTCTATGGGCGCCAATCTCTAAGGGCACCTATCTCTATGGGCGCCTATCTCTATGGGCGCCTATCTCTAGGGGCGGCTATCTCTATGGGCGTCTATCTCAAGGGGCGCCTATCTCTAGGGGTGCCTATCTCTATGGGCGCCTATCTCTATGGGCGCCTATCTCTATGGGCGCCTATCTCTATGGGCGCCTATCTCTATGGGCGCCTATCTCTAGGGGTGCCTATCTCCGTGGGCGCCTATCTCTAGGGGCGCCTATCTCTAGTGGCGCCTATCTCTAGGGGCGCCTATCTCTAGGAGCGCCTATCTCTAGGGGCGCATATCTCTATGGGCGCCAATCTCTAAGGGCACCTATCTCTATGGGCGCCTATCTCTATGGGCGCCTATCTCTAGGGGCGGCTATCTCTATGGGCGTCTATCTCAAGGGGCTCCTATCTCTAGGGGTGCCTATCTCTATGGGCGCCTATCTCTATGGGCGCCTATCTCTATGGGCGCCTATCTCTAGGGGTGCCTATCTCTATGGGCGCCTATCTCTAGGGGCGCCTATCTGTAGTGGCGCCTATCTCTAGGGGCGCCTATCTCTATGGGCGCCTATCTCTAGGGGCGCCTTTCTCTAGGGGCGCCTATCTCTAGGAGCGCCTATCTCTAGGGGCGCATATCTCTATGGGCGCCAATCTCTAGGGGCACCTATCTCTATGGGTGCCTATCTCTATGGGCGCCTATCTCTATGGGCGCCTATCTCTAGGGGCGCCTATCTCTATGGGCGCCTATCTCTATGGGCGCCTATCTCTAGGGGCGCCTATCTCTAGTGGCGCCTATCTCTATGGGCGCCTATCTCTATGGGCGCCTATCTCTATGGGCGCCTATCTCTATAGGCGCCTATCTCTATGGGCGCCTATCTCTATGAGCGCCTATCTCTATGGGCGCCTATCTCTATGGGCGCCTATCTCTATGGGCGCCTATCTCTATGGGCGCCTATCTCTAGGGGTGCCTATCTCCGTGGGCGCCTATCTCTAGGGGCGCCTATCTCTAGTGGCGCCTATCTCTAGGGGCGCCTATCTCTAGGAGCGCCTATCTCTAGGGGTGCATATCTCTATGGGCGCCAATCTCTAGGGGCACCTATCTCTATGGGCGCCTATCTCTATGGGCGCCTATCTCTAGGGGCGGCTATCTCTATAGGCGTCTATCTCAAAGGGCGCCTATCTCTAGGGGTGCCTATCTCTATGGGCGCCTATCTCTATGGGCGCCTCTCTTTTGGGGCGCCAATCTCTAGAGGCGCCTATCTCTATGGTCGCCCATCTCTAGGGGCGCCAACCTCTAGGGGCACCTATCTCTAGGGGCGCCTATCTCCAGGGGAGCCTATCTCTAAGGGCGCCTATCTCTAGGGGTGCCTATCTCTAGGGGCGGCTATCTCTAGGGGCATCTATCTCTATGGGCGCCTATCTCTAGGGGCCCCTATCTCTATGGGCGGCTATCTCTTTGGGCGCCTATCTCTATGGGCGCCTATCTCTAGGGGCGCCTATCTCTAGCGGCGGCCTATCTCTATGGGCGCCTATCTCTAGGGGCGCCTATCTCTAAGGGCGCCAATCTCCAGGGGCACGTATCTCTAGGGGCGTCTATCCCGAGGGGCGCCTATCTCTAGGGGCGCCTATCTCTAGGGGTGCCTATCTGTAGGGGCGGCTATCTCTAGGGGCGCATATCTCTATGGGCGCCAATCTCTAGGGGCACCTATCTCTATGGGCGCCTATCTCTATGGGCGCCTATCTCTATGGGCGCCTATCTCTAGGGGCGCCAATCTCTAGGGGCGCCTATCTCTATGGGCGCCTATCTCTATGGGCGCCTATCTCTATGGGCGCCTATCTCTATGGGCGCCTATCTCTATGGGCACCTATCTCTATGGGCGCCTATCTCTAGGGGCGCCTATCTCTATGGGCGCCAATCTCTAGGGGCACCTATCTCTATGGGCGCCTATCTCTATGGGCGCCTATCTCTATGGGCGCCTATCTCTAGGGGCGCCTATCTCTAGGGGCGCCTATCTCTATGGGCGCCTATCTCTATGGGCGCCTATCTCTATGGGCGCCTATCTCTATGGGCGCCTAACTCTATGGGCGCCTATCTCTATGGGTGCCTATCTCTATGGGCGCCTATCTCTATGGGCGCCTATTTCTATGGGCGCCTATCTCTAGGGGCGCCTATCTCTAGTGGCACCTATCTCTAGGGGCGCCTATCTCTATGGGCGCCTATCTCTAGGGGCGTCTATCTCTATGGGCGCCTATCTCTAGAGGCGCCTATCTATAGGGGCGCCTATCTCTAGGAGCGCCTATCTTTAAGGGCGCATATCTCTATGGGCGCCTATCTCTATGGGCGCCTTTCTCTATGGGCCCCTATCTCTATGGGCGCCTACCTCTATGGGCGCCTATCTCTATGGGCGCCTATCTCTATGGGCGCCTATCTCTATAGGCGCCTATCTCTATGGGCGCCTATCTCTATGGGCGCCTATCTCTATGGGCGCCTATCTCTATGGGCGCCTATCTCTATGGGCGCCTATCTCTATGGGCGCCTATCTCTATGTGCGCCTATCTCTATGGGCGCCTATCTCTATGGGCGCCTATCTCTATGGGCGCCTATCTCTATGGGCGCCTATCTCTATGGGCGCCTATCTCTAGGGGCGCCTATCTCCAGTGGCGCCTATCTCTAGGGTTGCCTATCTCTAGGAGCGCCTATCTCTAGGGGCGCATATCTCTATGGGCGCCAATCTCTAGGGGCACCTATCTCTATGGGCGCCTATCTCTATGGGCGCCTATCTCTATGGGCGCCTATCTCTAGGGGCGCCAATCTCTAGGGGCGCCTATCTCTATGGGCGCCTATCTCTATGGGCGCCTATCTCTATGGGCGCCTATCTCTATGGGCGCCTATCTCTATGGGCACCTATCCCTATGGGCGCCTATCTCTAGGGGCGCCTATCTCTATGGGCGCCAATCTCTAGGGGCACCTATCTCTATGGGCGCCTATCTCTATGGGCGCCTATCTCTATGGGCGCCTATCTCTAGGGGCGCCTATCTCTAGGGGCGCCTATCTCTATGGGCGCCTATCTCTATGGGCGCCTATCTCTATGGGCGCCTATCTCTATGGGCGCCTAACTCTATGGGCGCCTATCTCTATGGGCGCCTATCTCTATGGGCGCCTATCTCTATGGGCGCCTATTTCTATGGGCGCCTATCTCTAGGGGCGCCTATCTCTAGTGGCACCTATCTCTAGGGGCGCCTATCTCTATGGGCGCCTATCTCTAGGGGCGTCTATCTCTATGGGCGCCTATCTCTAGAGGCGCCTATCTATAGGGGCGCCTATCTCTAGGAGCGCCTATCTTTAAGGGCGCATATCTCTATGGGCGCCTATCTCTATGGGCGCCTTTCTCTATGGGCCCCTATCTCTATGGGCGCCTACCTCTATGGGCGCCTATCTCTTTGGGCGCCTATCTCTATGGGCGCCTATCTCTATAGGCGCCTATCTCTATGGGCGCCTATCTCTATGGGCGCCTATCTCTATGGGCGCCTATCTCTATGGGCGCCTATCTCTATGGGCGCCTATCTCTATGGGCGCCTATCTCTATGTGCGCCTATCTCTATGGGCGCCTATCTCTATGGGCACCTATCTCTATGGGCGCCTATCTCTATGGGCGCCTATCTCTATGGGCGCCTATCTCTATGAGGGCCTATCTCTAGGGGTGCCTATCTCTATGGGCTCCTATCTCTAGGGGCGCCTATCTCTAGTGGCGCCTATCTCTAGGGGCGCCTATCTCTATGGGCACCTATCTCTAGGGGCGCCTATCTCTAGGGGCGCCTATCTCTAGGAGCGCCTATCTCTAGGGGCGCATATCTCTATGGGCGCCAATCTCTATGGGCACCTATCTCTATGGGCGCCTATCTCTATGGGCGCCTATCTCTAGGGGCGGCTATCTCTATGGGCGTCTATCTCAAGGGGCGCCTATCTCTAGGGGTGCCTATCTCTATGGGCCCCTATCTCTATGGGCGCCTATCTCTATGGGCGCCTATCTCTAGGGGTGCCTATCTCTATGGGCGCCTATCCCTAGGGGCGCCTATCTGTAGTGGCGCCTATCTCTAGGGGCGCCTATCTCTATGGGCGCCTATCTCTAGGGGCGCCTATCTCTAGGGGCGCCTATCTCTAGGAGCGCCTATCTCTAGGGGCGCATATCTCTATGGGCGCCAATCTCTAGGGGCACCTATCTCTATGGGTGCCTATCTCTATGGGCGCCTATCTCTATGGTCGCCTATCTCTAGGGGCGCCTATCTCTATGGACGCCTATCTCTATGGGCGCCTATCTCTAGGGGCGCCTATCTCTAGGGGCGCCTATCTCTATGGGCGCCTATCTCTATGGGCGCCTATCTCTATGGGCGCCTATCTCTATGGGCGCCTATCTCTATGGGCGCCTATCTCTATGAGCGCCTATCTCTATGGGCGCCTATCTCTATGGGCGCCTATCTCTATGGGCGCCTATCTCTATGGGCGCCTATCTCTAGGGGTGCCTATCTCTGTGGGCGCCTATCTCTAGGGGCGCCTATCTCTAGTGGCGCCTATCTCTAGGGGCGCCTATCTCTAGGAGCGCCTATCTCTAGGGGCGCATATCTCTATGGGCGCCAATCTCTAAGGGCACCTATCTCTATGGGCGCCTATCTCTATGGGCGCCTATCTCTAGGGGCGGCTATCTCTATGGGCGTCTATCTCAAGGGGCGCCTATCTCTAGGGGTGCCTATCTCTATGGGCGCCTATCTCTATGGGCGCCTATCTCTATGGGCGCCTATCTCTATGGGCGCCTATCTCTATGGGCGCCTATCTCTAGGGGTGCCTATCTCCGTGGGCGCCTATCTCTAGGGGCGCCTATCTCTAGTGGCGCCTATCTCTAGGGGCGCCTATCTCTAGGAGCGCCTATCTCTAGGGGCGCATATCTCTATGGGCGCCAATCTCTAAGGGCACCTATCTCTATGGGCGCCTATCTCTATGGGCGCCTATCTCTAGGGGCGGCTATCTCTATGGGCGTCTATCTCAAGGGGCTCCTATCTCTAGGGGTGCCTATCTCTATGGGCGCCTATCTCTATGGGCGCCTATCTCTATGGGCGCCTATCTCTAGGGGTGCCTATCTCTATGGGCGCCTATCTCTAGGGGCGCCTATCTGTAGTGGCGCCTATCTCTAGGGGCGCCTATCTCTATGGGCGCCTATCTCTAGGGGCGCCTATCTCTAGGGGCGCCTATCTCTAGGAGCGCCTATCTCTAGGGGCGCATATCTCTATGGGCGCCAATCTCTAGGGGCACCTATCTCTATGGGTGCCTATCTCTATGGGCGCCTATCTCTATGGGCGCCTATCTCTAGGGGCGCCTATCTCTATGGGCGCCTATCTCTATGGGCGCCTATCTCTAGGGGCGCCTATCTCTAGTGGCGCCTATCTCTATGGGCGCCTATCTCTATGGGCGCCTATCTCTATGGGCGCCTATCTCTATAGGCGCCTATCTCTATGGGCGCCTATCTCTATGAGCGCCTATCTCTATGGGCGCCTATCTCTATGGGCGCCTATCTCTATGGGCGCCTATCTCTATGGGCGCCTATCTCTAGGGGTGCCTATCTCCGTGGGCGCCTATCTCTAGGGGCGCCTATCTCTAGTGGCGCCTATCTCTAGGGGCGCCTATCTCTAGGAGCGCCTATCTCTAGGGGTGCATATCTCTATGGGCGCCAATCTCTAGGGGCACCTATCTCTATGGGCGCCTATCTCTATGGGCGCCTATCTCTAGGGGCGGCTATCTCTATAGGCGTCTATCTCAAAGGGCGCCTATCTCTAGGGGTGCCTATCTCTATGGGCGCCTATCTCTATGGGCGCCTCTCTTTTGGGGCGCCAATCTCTAGAGGCGCCTATCTCTATGGTCGCCCATCTCTAGGGGCGCCAACCTCTAGGGGCACCTATCTCTAGGGGCGCCTATCTCCAGGGGAGCCTATCTCTAAGGGCGCCTATCTCTAGGGGTGCCTATCTCTAGGGGCGGCTATCTCTAGGGGCATCTATCTCTATGGGCGCCTATCTCTAGGGGCCCCTATCTCTATGGGCGGCTATCTCTTTGGGCGCCTATCTCTATGGGCGCCTATCTCTAGGGGCGCCTATCTCTAGCGGCGGCCTATCTCTATGGGCGCCTATCTCTAGGGGCGCCTATCTCTAAGGGCGCCAATCTCCAGGGGCACGTATCTCTAGGGGCGTCTATCCCGAGGGGCGCCTATCTCTAGGGGCGCCTATCTCTAGGGGTGCCTATCTGTAGGGGCGGCTATCTCTAGGGGCGCATATCTCTATGGGCGCCAATCTCTAGGGGCACCTATCTCTATGGGCGCCTATCTCTATGGGCGCCTATCTCTATGGGCGCCTATCTCTAGGGGCGCCAATCTCTAGGGGCGCCTATCTCTATGGGCGCCTATCTCTATGGGCGCCTATCTCTATGGGCGCCTATCTCTATGGGCGCCTATCTCTATGGGCACCTATCTCTATGGGCGCCTATCTCTAGGGGCGCCTATCTCTATGGGCGCCAATCTCTAGGGGCACCTATCTCTATGGGCGCCTATCTCTATGGGCGCCTATCTCTATGGGCGCCTATCTCTAGGGGCGCCTATCTCTAGGGGCGCCTATCTCTATGGGCGCCTATCTCTATGGGCGCCTATCTCTATGGGCGCCTATCTCTATGGGCGCCTAACTCTATGGGCGCCTATCTCTATGGGTGCCTATCTCTATGGGCGCCTATCTCTATGGGCGCCTATTTCTATGGGCGCCTATCTCTAGGGGCGCCTATCTCTAGTGGCACCTATCTCTAGGGGCGCCTATCTCTATGGGCGCCTATCTCTAGGGGCGTCTATCTCTATGGGCGCCTATCTCTAGAGGCGCCTATCTATAGGGGCGCCTATCTCTAGGAGCGCCTATCTTTAAGGGCGCATATCTCTATGGGCGCCTATCTCTATGGGCGCCTTTCTCTATGGGCCCCTATCTCTATGGGCGCCTACCTCTATGGGCGCCTATCTCTATGGGCGCCTATCTCTATGGGCGCCTATCTCTAGGGGCGCCTATCTCTATGGGCGCCTATCTCTATGGGCGCCTATCTCTAGGGGCGCCTATCTCTAGTGGCGCCTATCTCTATGGGCGCCTATCTCTATGGGCGCCTATCTCTATGGGCGCCTATCTCTATAGGCGCCTATCTCTATGGGCGCCTATCTCTATGAGCGCCTATCTCTATGGGCGCCTATCTCTATGGGCGCCTATCTCTATGGGCGCCTATCTCTATGGGCGCCTATCTCTAGGGGTGCCTATCTCCGTGGGCGCCTATCTCTAGGGGCGCCTATCTCTAGTGGCGCCTATCTCTAGGGGCGCCTATCTCTAGGAGCGCCTATCTCTAGGGGTGCATATCTCTATGGGCGCCAATCTCTAGGGGCACCTATCTCTATGGGCGCCTATCTCTATGGGCGCCTATCTCTAGGGGCGGCTATCTCTATGGGCGTCTATCTCAAAGGGCGCCTATCTCTAGGGGTGCCTATCTCTATGGGCGCCTATCTCTATGGGCGCCTCTCTTTTGGGGCGCCAATCTCTAGAGGCGCCTATCTCTATGGTCGCCCATCTCTAGGGGCGCCAACCTCTAGGGGCACCTATCTCTAGGGGCGCCTATCTCCAGGGGAGCCTATCTCTAAGGGCGCCTATCTCTAGGGGTGCCTATCTCTAGGGGCGGCTATCTCTAGGGGCACCTATCTCTATGGGCGCCTATCTCTAGGGGCCCCTATCTCTATGGGCGGCTATCTCTTTGGGCGCCTATCTCTATGGGCGCCTATCTCTAGGGGCGCCTATCTCTAGCGGCGGCCTATCTCTATGGGCGCCTATCTCTAGGGGCGCCTATCTCTAAGGGCGCCAATCTCCAGGGGCACGTATCTCTAGGGGCGTCTATCCCGAGGGGCGCCTATCTCTAGGGGCGCCTATCTCTAGGGGTGCCTATCTGTAGGGGCGGCTATCTCTAGGGGCGCATATCTCTATGGGCGCCAATCTCTAGGGGCACCTATCTCTATGGGCGCCTATCTCTATGGGCGCCTATCTCTATGGGCGCCTATCTCTAGGGGCGCCAATCTCTAGGGGCGCCTATCTCTATGGGCGCCTATCTCTATGGGCGCCTATCTCTATGGGCGCCTATCTCTATGGGCGCCTATCTCTATGGGCACCTATCTCTATGGGCGCCTATCTCTAGGGGCGCCTATCTCTATGGGCGCCAATCTCTAGGGGCACCTATCTCTATGGGCGCCAATCTCTATGGGCGCCTATCTCTATGGGCGCCTATCTCTAGGGGCGCGCCTATCTCTAGGGGCGCCTATCTCTATGGGCGCCTATCTCTATGGGCGCCTATCTCTATGGGCGCCTATCTCTATGGGCGCCTAACTCTATGGGCGCCTATCTCTATGGGTGCCTATCTCTATGGGCGCCTATCTCTATGGGCGCCTATTTCTATGGGCGCCTATCTCTAGGGGCGCCTATCTCTAGTGGCACCTATCTCTAGGGGCGCCTATCTCTATGGGCGCCTATCTCTAGGGGCGTCTATCTCTATGGGCGCCTATCTCTAGAGGCGCCTATCTATAGGGGCGCCTATCTCTAGGAGCGCCTATCTTTAAGGGCGCATATCTCTATGGGCGCCTATCTCTATGGGCGCCTTTCTCTATGGGCCCCTATCTCTATGGGCGCCTACCTCTATGGGCGCCTATCTCTATGGGCGCCTATCTCTATGGGCGCCTATCTCTATAGGCGCCTATCTCTATGGGCGCCTATCTCTATGGGCGCCTATCTCTATGGGCGCCTTTCTCTATGGGCGCATATCTCTATGGGCGCCTATCTCTATGGGCGCCTATCTCTATGTGCGCCTATCTCTATGGGCGCCTATCTCTATGGGCACCTATCTCTATGGGCGCCTATCTCTATGGGCGCCTATCTCTATGGGCGCCTATCTCTATGAGGGCCTATCTCTAGGGGTGCCTATCTCTATGGGCTCCTATCTCTAGGGGCGCCTATCTCTAGTGGCGCCTATCTCTAGGGGCGCCTATCTCTATGGGCGCCTATCTCTAGGGGCGCCTATCTCTAGGGGCGCCTATCTCTAGGAGCGCCTATCTCTAGGGGCGCATATCTCTATGGGCGCCAATCTCTATGGGCACCTATCTCTATGGGGGCCTATCTCTATGGGCGCCTATCTCTAGGGGCGGCTATCTCTATGGGCGTCTATCTCAAGGGGCGCCTATCTCTAGGGGTGCCTATCTCTATGGGCCCCTATCTCTATGGGCGCCTATCTCTATGGGCGCCTATCTCTAGGGGTGCCTATCTCTATGGGCGCCTATCCCTAGGGGCGCCTATCTGTAGTGGCGCCTATCTCTAGGGGCGCCTATCTCTATGGGCGCCTATCTCTAGGGGCGCCTATCTCTAGGGGCGCCTATCTCTAGGAGCGCCTATCTCTAGGGGCGCATATCTCTATGGGCGCCAATCTCTAGGGGCACCTATCTCTATGGGTGCCTATCTCTATGGGCGCCTATCTCTATGGTCGCCTATCTCTAGGGGCGCCTATCTCTATGGACGCCTATCTCTATGGGCGCCTATCTCTAGGGGCGCCTATCTCTAGGGGCGCCTATCTTTATGGGCGCCTATCTCTATGGGCGCCTATCTCTATGGGCGCCTATCTCTATGGGCGCCTATCTCTATGGGCGCCTATCTCTATGAGCGCCTATCTCTATGGGCGCCTATCTCTATGGGCGCCTATCTCTATGGGTGCCTATCTCTATGGGCGCCTATCTCTAGGGGTGCCTATCTCTGTGGGCGCCTATCTCTAGGGGCGCCTATCTCTAGTGGCGCCTATCTCTAGGGGCGCCTATCTCTAGGAGCGCCTATCTCTAGGGGCGCATATCTCTATGGGCGCCAATCTCTAAGGGCACCTATCTCTATGGGCGCCTATCTCTATGGGCGGCTATCTCTAGGGGCGGCTATCTCTATGGGCGTCTATCTCAAGGGGCGCCTATCTCTAGGGGTGCCTATCTCTATGGGCGCCTATCTCTATGGGCGCCTATCTCTATGGGCGCCTATCTCTATGGGCGCCTATCTCTATGGGCGCCTATCTCTAGGGGTGCCTATCTCCGTGGGCGCCTATCTCTAGGGGCGCCTATCTCTAGTGGCGCCTATCTCTAGGGGCGCCTATCTCTAGGAGCGCCTATCTCTTGGGGCGCATATCTCTATGGGCGCCAATCTCTAAGGGCACCTATCTCTATGGGCGCCTATCTCTATGGGCGCCTATCTCTAGGGGCGGCTATCTCTATGGGCGTCTATCTCAAGGGGCTCCTATCTCTAGGGGTGCCTATCTCTATGGGCGCCTATCTCTATGGGCGCCTATCTCTATGGGCGCCTATCTCTAGGGGTGCCTATCTCTATGGGCGCCTATCTCTAGGGGCGCCTATCTGTAGTGGCGCCTATCTCTAGGGGCGCCTATCTCTATGGGCGCCTATCTCTAGGGGCGCCTATCTCTAGGGGCGCCTATCTCTAGGAGCGCCTATCTCTAGGGGCGCATATCTCTATGGGCGCCAATCTCTAGGGGCACCTATCTCTATGGGTGCCTATCTCTATGGGCGCCTATCTCTATGGGCGCCTATCTCTAGGGGCGCCTATCTCTATGGGCGCCTATCTCTATGGGCGCCTATCTCTAGGGGCGCCTATCTCTAGTGGCGCCTATCTCTATGGGCGCCTATCTCTATGGGCGCCTATCTCTATGGGCGCCTATCTCTATAGGCGCCTATCTCTATGGGCGCCTATCTCTATGAGCGCCTATCTCTATGTGCGCCTATCTCTATGGGCGCCTATCTCTATGGGCGCCTATCTCTATGGGCGCCTATCTCTAGGGGTGCCTATCTCCGTGGGCGCCTATCTCTAGGGGCGCCTATCTCTAGTGGCGCCTATCTCTAGGGGCGCCTATCTCTAGGAGCGCCTATCTCTAGGGGTGCATATCTCTATAGGCGCCAATCTCTAGGGGCACCTATCTCTATGGGCGCCTATCTCTATGGGCGCCTATCTCTAGGGGCGGCTATCTCTATGGGCGTCTATCTCAAAGGGCGCCTATCTCTAGGGGTGCCTATCTCTATGGGCGCCTATCTCTATGGGCGCCTCTCTTTTGGGGCGCCAATCTCTAGAGGCGCCTATCTCTATGGTCGCCCATCTCTAGGGGCGCCAACCTCTAGGGGCACCTATCTCTAGGCGCGCCTATCTCCAGGGGAGCCTATCTCTAAGGGCGCCTATCTCTAGGGGTGCCTATCTCTAGGGGCGGCTATCTCTAGGGGCACCTATCTCTATGGGCGCCTATCTCTAGGGGCCCCTATCTCTATGGGCGGCTATCTCTTTGGGCGCCTATCTCTATGGGCGCCTATCTCTAGGGGCGCCTATCTCTAGCGGCGGCCTATCTCTATGGGCGCCTATCCCTAGGGGCGCCTATCTCTAAGGGCGCCAATCTCCAGGGGCACGTATCTCTAGGGGCGCCTATCTCTAGGGGTGCCTATCTCTAGGGGCGGCTATCTCTAGGGGCGCATATCTCTATGGGCGCCTATCTGTAGGGGCGCCTATCTCGATAGGCGACTATCTCTTTGGGCGCCTATCTCTATGGGCGCCAATCTCTATGGGCGCCTATCTCTTGGGGCGCCTATCTCTAGGGCGCCTATCTTTAGCGGCGCCTATCCCTAGGGGCGCCTATCACTAGGGGCGCCTATCTCTATGTGCGCCTATCCCTAGGGGCGCCTATCACTAGGGGCGCCTATCTCTATGTGCGCCTATCTCTAGGGCCGCCTATCTTTAGGGGCGCCTATCTCTAGTTGCGCCTATCTCTAGGGGTGCCTTTCTCTAGGGGCGGCTATCTCCAGGGGCGCCTATCTCTAGGGGCGCTTATCTCTATGGGAGCCTATCTCTTTGGGCGCCTATCTCTAGGGGCGCCTATCTCTAGGGGCGCATATCTGTATGGGCGCCTATCTCTAGGGGCGCCTATCTCTATGGGCGCCTATCTCTATGGGCGCCTATTTTACGGGCGCCTACCTCTATGGGCGCCTATCTCTTTGGGCGCCTATCTCTATGGGCGCCTATCTCTAGGGGCGCCTATCTCTAGGGGTGCCTATCTCTATGGGCGCCTATCTCTATGGGCGCCTATCTCTAGGGGCGCCTATCTCTAGGGGTGCCTATCTCTATGGGTGCCAATCTCTATGGGCGCCTATCTCTATGGGCGCCTATCTCTATGGGCGCCTATCTCTATGGGTGCCTATCTCTTTGGGCGCCTATCTCTATGGGCGCCTATCTCTAGGGGCGCCTATCTCTAGGGGCGCCTATCTCTATGGGCGCCTATCTCTATGGGCGCCTATCTCTATGGGCGCCTATCTCTATGGGCGCCTACCTCTATGGGCGCCTATCTCTTTGGGCGCCTATCTCTATTGGCGCCTATCTCTAGGGGTGCCTATCTCTATGGGCGCCTATCTCTATGGGCGCCTATCTTTAGTGGCGCCTATCTCTAGGGGTGCCTATCTCTAGTGGCGCCTATCTCTAGTGGCGCCTATCTCTATGGGCGCCTATCTCTATGGGCGCCTATCTCTATGGGCGCCTATCTCTATGGGTGCCTATCTCTTTGGGCGCCTATCTCTATGGGCGCCTATCTCTAGGGGCGCCTATCTCTATGTGCGCCTATCTCTATGGGCGCCTCTCTTTAGGGGCGCCAATCTCTAGAGGTGCCTATCTCTATGGTCGCCCATCTCTAGGGGCACCTACCTCTAGGGGCACCTATCTCTAGGGCCGCCTTTCTTTAGGGGCGCCTATCTCTAGTTGCGCCTATCTCTAGGGGTGCCTTTCTCTAGGGGCGGCTATCTCTAGGGCCACCTATCTCTAGGGCCGCCTATCTCCAGGGGCGCCTATCTCTAGGGGCGCCTATCTCTAGGGGTGCCTATCTCTAGGGGCGGCTATCTCTAGGGGCGCCTATCTCTATGGGCGCCTATCTCTTTGGGCGCCTATCTCTAGGGGCGCCTATCTCTAGGGGCGCATATCTCTATGGGCGCCTATCTCTAGGGGCGCCTATCTCTATGGGCGCCTATCTCTATGGGCGCCTATCTCCATGGGCGCCTACCTCTTTGGGCGCCTATCTCTTTGGGCGCCTATCTCTATGGGCGCCTATCTCTAGGGGCGCCTATCTCTATAGGCGCCTATCTCTAGGGGCGCTTATCTCTATGTGCGTCTATCTCTATGGGCGCCTCTCTTTAGGGGCGCCAATCTCTAGAGGCACCTATCTCTTTGGGCGCCAATCTCTATGGGCGCCTATCTTTATGTGCGCCTATCTCTAGGGGCGCCTATCTCTATGGGCGCATATCTCTATGGGCGCCTATCTCTAGGAGCGCCTATCTCTATGGGCGTCTATCTCTAGGGGCGCCTATCTCTAGGGGCGCCAATCTCCAGAGGCGCCTATCTCTATGGGCGCCCATCTCTAGGGGCGCCTACCTCAAGGGGCACCTATCTCTAGTGGCGCCTATCTCCAGGGGCGCCTATCTCTAGGGGCGCCATCTCTAGGGGTGCCTATCTCTAGGGGCGGTTATCTCTAGGGGCGCTTATCTCTATGGGCGCCTATCTCTAGGGGCGCCTATCTCTATGGGCGCCTATCTCTATGGGCGCCTATCTCTATGGGCGCCTATCTCTACGGGCGCCTATCTCTATGGGCGCCTATCTCTAGGGGCGCCTATCTCAGTGGCGCCTATCTCTATGGGCACCTATCTCTAGGGGCGCCTATCTCTATGGGCGCCTATCTCTATGGGCGCCTATCTCTATGGGCGCCTATCTCTATGGGTGCATATCTCTTTGGGCGCCTATCTCTATGGGCGCCTATCTCTAGGGGTGCCTATCTCTAGGGGCGCTTATCTCTATGGGCGCCTATCTCTAGGGGCGCCTATCTCTAGGGGCGCCTATCTCTATGGGCGCCTATCTCTATGGGCGCCTATCTATAGGGGCGCCTATCTCTATGGACGTCTATCTCTAGGGGCGCCTATCTCTAGGGGCACATATCTCTATAGGCGCCTATCTCTATGGGCGCCTCTCTTTAGGTGCGCCAATCTCTAGAGGCGCCTATCTCTATGGGCGCCCATCTCTAGGGGCGCCTACCTCTAGGGGCACCTATCTCTAGTGGCGCCTATCTCCAGGGGCGCCTATCTCTAGGGGCGCCTATCTCTAGGGGTGCCTATCTCTATGGGCGCCTATCTCTAGGGGCGCCTATCTCTATGGGCGCCTATCTCTAGGGGCGCCTATCTCTATGGGCGCCTATCTCTTTGGGCGCCTATCTCTATGGGCGCCTATCTCTAGGGGCGCCTATCTCTAGGGGCGCCTATCTCTATGGGCGCCTATCTCTATGGGCGCCTATCTCTATGGGCGCCTATCTCTACGGGCGCCTATCTCTATGGGCGCCTATCTCTAGGGGCGCCTATCTCTAGTGGCGCCTATCTCTATGGGCGCCTATCTCTAGGGGCGCCTATCTCTATTGGCGCCTATCTCTATGGGCGCCTATCTCTATGGGCGCCTATCTCTATGGGTGCCTATCTCTTTGGGCGCCTATCTCTATGGGCGCCTATCTCTAGGGGCGCCTATCTCTAGGGGCGCCTGTCTCTATGGGCGCCTATCTCTATGGGCGCCTATCTCTAGGGGCGCCTATTTCTATGGGCGCCTATCTCTAGGGGCGCCTATCTCTAGGGGCACCTATCTATATGGGCGCCTATCTCCATGGGCGCGTCTCTTTAGGGGTACCAATCTCTAGAGGCACCTATCTCTAGGGGCGGGGTGATGGAAAGCGGGAGAATTGGGCGGGGTGATGGAAAGCGGGAGAATGGAGCGGGGTGGTGGAAAGCGGGAGAATGGGGCGGGGTGAGGGAAAGAGGGAGAGTGAGGAGGGGTGATGGAAAGAGGGAGAATTGGGCGGGGTGATGGAAAGCGGGAGAATGGAGCGGGGTGATGGAAAGAGGGAGAATGGGGCGTGGTGATGGAAAGCGGGAGAATGGGGCGGGGTGATGGAAAGAGGGAGAATGGGGCGGGGTGATGGAAAGCGGGAGAATGGGGCGGGGTGATGGAAAGTGGGAGAATGGGGCGGGGTGATGGAAAGAGGGAGAATGGGGCGGGGTGATGGAAAGCGGGAGAATGGGGCGGTGTGATGGAAAGAGGGAGAATGGGGAGGGGTGATGGAAAGAGGGAGAATTGGGCGGGGTGATGGAAAGCGGGAGAATGGAGCGGGGTGATGGAACGAGGGAAAATGGGGCGGGGTGATGGAATGCGGGAGAATGGGGCGGAGTGATGGAAAGAGGGAGAATGGGCCGGGGTGATGGAAAGCGGGAGAATGGGGCGGGGTGATGGACAGCGGGAGAATGGGGGTGGGTGATGGAAAGCGGGAGAATGGGGCGGGGTGATGAAAAGCGGGAGAATGGGGCGGGGTGATGGAAAGCGGGAGAATGAGGCGGGGTGATGGAAAGCGGGAGAATGGGGCGGGGTGATGGAAATCGGGAAAATGGGGCGGGGTGATGGAAAGCGGGAGAATGGGGCGGGGTGATGGAAAGAGGGAGAATGGGGCGGGGTGATGGAAGGCGGGAGAATGGGGCGGGGTGATGGAAAGGGGGAGAATTGGGCAGGGTGATGGAAAGATGGAGAATGGGGCGGGGTGATGGAAGGCGGGAGAATGGGGCGGGGTGATGGAAAGAGGGAGAATGGGGCGGGGTGATAGAAAGCAGAAGAATGGGGCGGGGTGATGGAAAGAGGGAGAATGGGGAGGGGTGATGGAAAGAGTAAGAATGGGGTGGGGTGATGGAAAGCGGGAGAATGGGGCAGGGTGTTGGAAAGCGGGAGAATGGGGCGGGGTGATGGAAATCGGGAGAATGGGGCGGGGTGATGGAAAGCGGAGAATGGGGCGGGGTGATGGAAATCAGGAGAATGGGGCGGGGTGATGGAAAGCGGGAGAATAAGGCGGGGTGATGCAAAGCGAGAGAATTGGGCGGGGTGATGGAAAACGGGAGAATGGGATGGGGTGATGGAAAGTGGGAGAATTGGGCGGGGTGATGGATAGAGGGAGAATGGGGCGGGGTGATGGAAAGCGGGAGAATGGGGCGGGGTGATGGAAAGAGGGAGAATGGGGTGGGATGATGGAAAGCGTGAGAATGGGGCGGGGTGATGGAAAGAGGGAGAATGGGGCGGGGTGATGGAAGGCGGGAGAATGGGGTGGGGTGATGGAAAGCGGGAGAATTGGGCGGGGTGATGGAAAGCGGGAGAATGGGGCGGGGTGATGAAAGGCGGGAGAATGGGGCGGGGTGATGGAAAGAGGGAGAATGGAGAGGGGTGATAGAAAGAGGGAGAATTGGGCGGGGTGATGGAAAGCGGGAGAATGGTGTGGGGTGATGGAAAGCGGGAGAATGGGGCGGGGTGATGGAAAGCGGGAGAATGGGGCGGGGTGATGGAAAGAGGGAAAATGGGGCGTGGTGATGGAAAGCGGGAGAATTGGGCGGGGTGATGGAAAGCGGGAGAATGGAGCGGGGTGGTGGAAAGCGGGAGAATGGGGCGGGGTGATGGAAAGAGGAAGAATGAGGAGGGGTGATGGAAAGAGGGAGAATTGGGCGGGGTGATGGAAAGCGGGGGAATGGAGCGGGGTGATGGAAAGAGGGAGAATGGGGCGGGGTGAAGGAAAGCAGGAGAATGGGGCGGGGTGATGGAAAGAGGGAGAATGGGGCGGGGTGATGGAAAGAGGGAGAATGGGGCGGGGTGATGGAAAGAGGGAGAATGGGGCGGGGTGATGGAAAGAGGGAGAATGGGGCGGGGTGATGGAAAGAGGGAGAATGGGGAGGGGTGATGGAAAGAGGTAGAATTGGGCGGGGTGATGGAAAGCGGGAGAATGGAGCGGGGTGATGGAACGAGGGAGAATGGGGAGGGGTGATGGAAAGAGGTAGAATTGGGCGGGGTGATGGAAAGAGGGAGAATGGGGAGGGGTGATGGAAAGAGGGAGAATGGGGAGGGGTGATGGAAAGAGGTAGAATCGGGCGGGGTGATGGAAAGCGGGAGAATGGAGCGGGGTGATGGAACGAGGGAGAATGGGGAGGGGTGATGGAAAGAGGTAGAATCGGGCGGGGTGATGGAAAGCGGGAGAATGGAGCGGGGTGATGGAACGAGGGAAAATGGGGCGGGGTGATGGAATGCGGGAGAATGGGGCTAGGTGATGGAAAGAGGGAGAATGGGGCTGGGTGATGGAAAGCGGGAGAATGGGGCGGGGTGATGGAAAGCGGGAGAATGGGGCGGGGTGATGGAAAGCGGGAGAATGGGGCGGGGTGATGGAAAGCGGGAGAATGGGGCGGGGTGATGGAAATCGGGAAAATGGGGCGTGGTGATGGAAAGCGGGAGAATGGGGCGGGGTGATGGAAAGAGGGAGAATGGGGCGGGGTGATGGAAGGCGGGAGAATGGGGCGGGGTGATGGAAAGGGGGAGAATTGGGCAGGGTGATGGAAAGATGGAGAATGGGGCGGGGTGATGGA